AGCTTGGTTCTTTTCTTGCAAATGTTTCATTACCCGGCTAGGTAACATCTTCAGTGCACAGAGCCAAAGAACCAAGCTCAGAGAACCCCAAGGACTCCACAGTTCAACCCTGAGCTACACATATTCGCCTCTATTGGAATTTAGGTTTCCTACAAATTTATTCATTTGTAACAGTGATACAGCTATATAGAAAAAAATCAGAAAATGAAATAATGATAAAAATTGACCTTTAAAAGGATACCACAGGGAAAAAATGTGAATTTTTAAGGCACTGAAAGCAAGTTTTGATTACTCAGGAAAATCCTTGCAAATGAAGCTTATTGCTCTCAGGTATCAACACTGATGCATGAAGGACAATGCAAGCCCACATGCAAACCCAGATTTCAAAATATTATTCCCACTTTTTAATGCTGGAGAAGCATCATGCAACAGTATTGCATTTATAATTCATGCAGTATTGAGAAAGAATGAATGTTACAGATGGATTTCTTTTTCTCTTGCTTCCCCAAATCTTGATATATTTTTTTTGAGAACTAAGAAAGGGAACCCAAAAGTTCATCCAGTTCCGGTTCAGCACTTCTGCATTAATCAAATGCTAAGATGCAGCACTTGCACTAGACCTTTCTGAACAAGCTCTCAGAAGCTCCATATGGTGTCCAGACTTCCCCGTAATAACTTAAAAGTCCAAGAAGAAATTGTATTATGGAGACCCTTTCCATGATCTACAGGAAGGTGACATGTGTTACTGAAATGTCCCCATAACTTGGCCTACTTTTACTACATCCTCAGTATCATATGCCATCATTCCATAATCAGCATTCTATCAAGCTGTGAGCTTTACACAGCTTTTCCTTGTCACAGAGCACTTTACCTTCACCCCAATCAGTCCAGACCACAGCTGTCACCTCTTCCTGTTCCTGAGCCAAGTGGTGCTGTAAATGCAAGCCAGAAGGCAGGACTAAAGGCTTCCAGGTCTTAGCAAACTAGCTGCTCAGACTACCCCATTTATGTTATCCCATTTATGTTAAGTACAGGCAGCAGTCAAACACCGGACAAAATCTGAACATGAAACCTACAAGGCAGAAATAAATTAAGGGAATGAAAAGAGTCACTCAGATTTGTGCTAGATTATTGTTCTTAAAAATGAGTAAATCACCTCTCAAAAAAAAGAAAACCTGTATCATATATTTATAACACATTTATCTGGCTTGTTAGCCAAAAGTGCTCTCATACACTCAATTAAAAAAAATACACAAAGACCTACTTACAGACTTGTAATCCAAACATCATGGTCAGGGGATGGAGAGGGAAGAACAAAACCATGCTCAGGCGCCAATTCTTAAATAATGAACAAACTGATACAACTCAGAGAGATGTTACTTCCCTTGCCATTTTCCTCAGTTGTAATCTGATGAATGACTACCACTGGACTCTTTTTCAAATTATTCACATGCAGAAATGTAGCATCCTTAGAAAACATTCAGAAGCAGATTCCCATGGAGGAAGAGAGACTGTGCAGAGCAGGAGGAGCAAATTGTGCTTCTGAGAAGTGACTTACTGACTGGGCTGCCTTATAGGTCAGACACTACAGACCAGCAATATCCCAACTTGGTATGACCTCCAAGTATTTTCAGCCAGCACGTTGTAAGAAAATTTTAGGAGTTGTTCTCCTAACACATTTGGAGGGACTTCCAAGTCTTATACCAGATAATCAGCCTTCCAATACATGTAAAATCATACAGCACATTTGAATAAGAGAATGCTGAGACACCTTCTTTATTCAGAGGATGTAGACTACATGCATCATTTTGAATTTATTAAGAACTTCCATAACAACAAACATTATGATTAATAGCACATCCTGCCTATTATCATGTTCCCACCAGTGCCTCAACTGGATGGTTCAGTGTTTTAATAACACAAGGCACTAAGGAAATTATTCTATTTCTTATCATACATTCTCAATTCTGGCAATATAACTTTTTTCTCAATTCTGGCAATATAACTTTTTATAAAATACAGTAATGATGCACAATTATTTCTCCCCTCTGTTTCCTCCGTAATGCCAAGCCACTATAATTTGACATCTGGAGCTATAGTTTAGGCTGGCTATGACCAGCACTAACATCAGTGCTGATGCCACACTAATCATAGTTTTAGTCATGAAACTTAGATGGAGAGGGCAATATTCATCCCTTTGGGATACGATGGTTGCACATACTTGAAAGATACTCCTGAATATTAGTACCAAAATAGAAGATTGGGTGTTACTTCTGGACCTGATCTTATAAATAGCTTGTTCTCTGAAAGATGCCAAAAGAGGCAATAGCGGTGATGCTTGAGATACGTTTTTTCTGATGATAGGGGAAACAATGATCATCAAATTAATATTTCCTGTTACCTAGGGAAGCTGAGCTAAATTAGTAGAGGCATTTAATTGGTTCACTGCTTACTGGGATTAAAGAATACAGAATAAATACAGCTGTAACACAAGCCCACAGGCAAACTAATAGAGAATGAACATTAAAGGGATGTTTGGAGACAATCTAATTTGTATCACAGAACTAATGCTTTTCTTTCTCTCTAGAAATAATTTGGAAAGAAAAGGATGCGCACTTATGAAAGTAGCATATACCATTTGAAGACTTTTGGAATTCTAATCCTGTTAATTACAAGTGTTGTACATATACATTCATTGCAACTTACTTTTCATGATGTGTTGCCAGAGTGACATTGAGTCCAGTAGTTACAGTGGCACTGTAACTCAAACTGTATATTCTGAAATCTGTACCACCTTTGATATTGCAAACAAGTTGAAAACCTGAGGTCATAATGACTCAAGAGCTTATTACCGGCATTGCATACTGAAAATTCATCTGATCGGGTTGTCAGGCTTAATGACTGGGTGTGATTCAGAAAATATGGGAAACTGCCTTAGACCAAGCCAGACCATTGGCCCACACAACTCAGCATTCTCTCCATTTGACTGTCAGCATCTTCCCAGGACTTCAAAACAAAGCATTCCCAAGCCCTATTAGAGATGCCAGAGATTGAACCTGGGAACTTCATGGGCAAACCTCAAGCTCTGTCACTGACTCTACAGCTTGTACCTAAGTAACTTCACTCCTGTGCCTGAAGACTAAAACTGGAGAGGGATGTTCAAGTGCTCTCACAAACACTACCTAAATATTCCTTCCTTTCATGATTCTTCATCATGTGGCAATTACATCTACAGTCCTCATGTTCAGGCCAAAGCAAATAACCGCCTCATTCAGCTGGCTTGCCTATATCCCATTCAGTAAATGCCTGACTCAGACTACCTTCTCTACCATAAGAATCTTTCTCCATCACAGCCATTTCTTCCAAATATGCTATTACTAGCTATTAATGTTTAAGTGTATAAATAAAGGCTTAAAAGAACAAAACCAAAGCCAGACCTCAGATCAGGCCAATATAACCACAGGCCCACATTCAACTAGTGGAATTTTTACAACTACTAGAATTTTTACCACAACTAAAGGGTATTATATAATATATGCTATAATGCTTTATATAATTTATTTAATATATATAATATAATATTATATTATATAATTATACTATAACAATGCTATATTAAACACTGCACAGATACTGTCACTGTGGACAAATGA